TCAGGAACTTGTTGCAAGACAAAGAGATAGCAAATGTAAAACGTAATTCCCTCGTTCCCAATTTTTCCCAACCATACACAATGTGGCAACAAACAGCTTCACGCACACGGCATTTTCCTCCCACTGGGTTGTTTCCCTAGGACAAATTTCCCCCAAAACAAATTACGAGGCTCAAGAGTAATACTATTTTTATGACCATAAAAATCTCTTTCCAAATGGCCTTCAAAAAGATTGTAAAAATTTACACTGCCCAGCCTGCCATCTGGCCAGGTTTTTGGAGGGCAAAGGTATGAGAACACACAGCCTCCAATGGTAAGCGGGAGGCCAAGGATGAACCAGAAGCACGGGTGAACCCCGGTGCTTAGCACCGACCAGACATTCCACCGGCCACAAGCCAAACTTGAATCCAAAGGCCCTCGGTGCTGGCCAGCCCCATCCTGAACACAGCCAGCACCACGGAGAGTGGCTGCAGCACGCAGTCTGCCAGCTACAGACAGTCCTCAGCCCCTTCCACGGACTCGCATCCACACGGTTCCTGGTCTCCTGCCTTGTTCTAAACGCACCCCTCATGCTGCGTCCCTAGCCTCGGCTTGCCTGGTTGCTGCCTGCTCTCCTGTAAGGCGGGCTCTGCGTGCCCCCACGCCGACTACAAGCTCTGTCCCCCTCCCACTACACGGTCCTGGCATTCCCGATTCAATCCTTATCACAACCCAATGAGCAAAAATTATTTTCCCATTTTACAGACAAGGTAACCAAAATGTACAGATCTAGTTTCTTCTACAAGCTCGTCTGTCTATTTACTTACTCAACAAATACTTATCAAGCGCCCACCGTCCTGTCGGGCGCTGAGTACTAGGGATAAAGGAGACGCACGTTGAGCAAGCACACAAATAAAACACCGAAGTACAAATAGTCGAAAGATCCATGGTGGAAAAGGCCGGTGCTGAGTGCCTGCTGTCAGACAAGATAATGGGGGTCTCCAGAGAGCTGGGGAAGGAGTTAGGGGCAGCCTCTCTAACAAGGTCACACTTCAAGCTGAGACACGAAGGTCCTGCCACTCAAGGAGAGGGAAAAAGGATTCTAGGCAGAGGGAGAAGCTCGGAGAAGGCCCTGCCCATGTGGGTTAGTGAGAGCAGGCTGTGTGGCCAGAGCACAGGCTGTGAGGGAAGGAGGCATGTGCTGACCTCAGCAACACGGAAGCAGCCCCTTACACAGGGCCGGGTCTCCGCCTGCCTCAGCTGAGACCAGGAACTTTGAACACAAAGGAACAGGGGCCTGGGCACAAGAACACCAGCACCTCGGGCAGGCGGGTATGAGACCAGAGCAGCAGAATTTACCCTAAGGATATAATCATGTAACTGTAAAATGACCTACACGAGGAGACTCATCAAAGCTTTGTAAGAGTGAAAAATTCAAAACAACCTGGAATGTCCCACACTAAGAGATTATGTAAATTATAGTTCAAGCCCTTCCTCTTAATACAAGTCTTTCTGAACTAGTAGTCATGAAATAATGCTGTCCACCAGTATTAAGAGAGGCAGAAAGCTACCCATGCCATGTTCTGTCCGGAAGGTCACAGAAAAAGCCAGAATTAAATTCTTCTATATACAGATAAAGACAGCTACCTGGACTGGATATACTGATCCAGATTCTGGGTCTCCTCCACTCACCAAAAAAATGTTGAGACAGAGAGAGAAAGAGAAAGAGAAATTGCCTGAGTACCCAGAACAGGCCACACTACACAGCACAGTGTCTTACAAAACGCTGCCTCTGCCAGGCCTCCTCCGGTCGATGTCCGGGAGCCCCGACTGCGCTGTCACCTGGAAAGGACCAGTAAGACAGGCAGACTTGCCAGCTCCTCCCCCTAAGGCCTGCCCTACAGGTGATTACCACCTCACCTGATGCAGGTATAGACAAAGGATCGGCAATGCAAAGACCCACAAGGAGGCAAGTGGCTTTCACACAGAGGGGACAGCAGAGGACAGCAGGAAAGGCCACCTGTGTGGAAGACCTGGTTCCCAGCCTGGAAGAGTCAGCGCCCGCTCTGGGCTTCGGAGCGCCCGTGTGTCAAACGAAGGGACGGGATGGTCTCCCCCAGATCCGAGTCTCAGCCTCACTTCTTGACCTCTCCCGACCACAGCCACGTAGCTCCAGCACCACCCCACGGAGCAGCCTTTCAGTGACAGCCTGTCGCCAGGCCTCCAGCCCAGGGGGCTTTTGAGAGTACAGCTCTGGTCTTTTCCCTCCCAGATAAGCATCCCCCACCGGCCGTCCTTCGTCTTCAGGACAAAGGTCAACCAAAGCAGGGTAACATACGAGACCCCTGACCCCTGCCTTCTTCAGTGGCCTCACTGCTCTCAGGACCCCCTGACACAGCCTCCTTCCAGCCAACGGGAACTTACAATCCCCTAAACTCCTTGCGCCCAGCACACCTCTCGCTGCGCTTGCCCAGGTTGAGTCCCTGTGCCTGGGATGCTCTCCCAGTCCTCTCACCTTGGCTAATCCCTACTTGTCCCTGATGACCCAGCTCGAGGAACACTTCCTCCAGGGAGGCTTCCCTGAATCCCCCCAGCCAGGTTCAGAGCCCTCCTCTGTGCCCCACCGTGCTCTGTACTTCCCTCTGTCACTGCACCATTTTCCCATCTATCTCCCCAACCGGCCTGTGAGTCTCATGAGAGGGAAACCTCCCTGGTCTTAATCTACTGCAGACTCCCGAGCCTCAGACCACAGACTGGCACAGAGCATATATCTGAAAACATTTGTTGATGAATGGATGAACTCTGAGCAAACCAGAAGAAGGCCGAGGTCTTGCTAGACCTTAGCTAATAGACCCTGATGTTCGGTTACCCAGCAGCTGAGACTAGCGTAAGAGGAATCATGAACTTCCTTGTAAATCAAAAGTATTCCAGCCCCTCCTTAATATGCATGCTGACTTTAAAATTAGCATTCGACGCCAACAGCATTGCCTACAAGCATCCCACAGAAAGTTCGGACCACCTCTGCGTAGAGCTCATGCGCGTAGTAGCTCAGGCCAAATGAAACATTTCAGCGACTCATAAAGACTTGAAAGGGAGACACTGGGAACACTGTGGTCATTTCAATTTCAACAGCAGAATTTGCTCTTGAAAATGCTACAATAAAAAATATTAATGCCATAAAAACCTAACAGCAGCCGGAGGACCACAGCCATAAAGAAAAAGCATAAATCCTGAAACGTATCGGCACAGAAGACTCCCTCTCGCCTTCCAGAACAACAGCATTTAGGTCATCCAGAACCCATCTGGAGAAGGGACACTTGAATCACACGGCAGAGTAGAAAAACTAATAACGAATTTAACAACAGTGAAGAGGAGGAGGAGCTCTGCGTCGGGCCGAGAGGTGCTCACTTAATCCTGCCAGCAGCCTGAAGAAGCAGAAACTGTCAACATGCCCAGTCTAAAGACAGTGCAGACAGATTACGCGACTGGCCCGAGGTCACTCGTGAGCAGTGAACCTGCAGGCAGCCTGGGTCCAGGGGCCACGGTCTGCCAGGTCACATCCCTGCACCTCAGCTTCTCCTAGGGTTGGACTCAAGTCTAAGATTCCTTCCGGCTCAAAAGGCAGACAGTAACATGCAAAACGAAAATTCTAAGATTCTGTTAAGTTTTTCCACCTAGAAATAAAATTCAAAGCCGTGCCCTTCAAAAATTAAATAACTCTGTGTCTTGCGGATCGGCTTCCATATTAAAGTAACATACATGAAGAGCTAAATCTTTCAAGTGCCCAGCTCAGAGCAAGAGCTCAATAAACAGTGGCTATTCTTACTCTGAGGATAAAACAGAAACAGCCATTTAATAGCAGAGCACGTTTTAATTATACACGATGTGGAATAATCAAATCTCACTTGATTGAGGCCCCAGACCCCACAGCATAGATGGAGTTGTACAGTTGAAATGAGAACAACTCAAAGCTCAGAAATTACTTGTTTCCATTAGAGATCTGACAAGTCATTTCTTCAATTGGTCACTGGTGGTTTGCAGATAACTATTAGCAGTAATGAGTATTCTAAATTAAATCCAGAGACAGTACCGCTCTGTTCTGTAAAGACAACCGGGGAGGGAGAGATGTAACTGTGGAACGTCCTTCTCTCTGTCCTCCGTCTTCTCCCTGATAAATATCTCCTGTGTCTTGCATAGTATGGATTTCATTTGGCTGCAAATGAAGAAGGGTCTAATTCTTCCCATGACAAATGAGAGTGCTGAACAGGTAACTTGTTAAGGAGAACTGGAATTGGGAAAATAACCTTATTTTCCTGTTCCTTGACAACAAACCCCCTCTGTTAACAAATGGAAGACACAATGCGGGAAGACACTAAGCATGGAGGCCAAATCCATCGCCACGTAAGGCGTCCTCAGACGCTATACACAACCGCCCTGGGCGCAGGCTGCTCGTGTTTTGTTCCACAGCAACAAAGACGAAGCCTATGAAAAGCAAGGAGGTGGCACAGAGCAGCGGCAGGAATAAAGGTTTTGGAATCCTTAAAAACCTGGATTCAAATCCCAGCCCCACCACTCAAGCATTACGTGACTGTAAGCGAGTCTCTCCTAGGCTTACGACTTATCTGCAAAATGTAAAATACCTCAAAGAGTTATAGCAAGGATTAAGTGGGGACCATCAATAACATGCCTCACGTTACAGGGAAGCCCTTGGCAAATATTAGCGCCTCTCCGCTGGGCAGTATGGTAATATCCTGACGTTCAGGACCCCAGAAATACGTCAAACTCCCCAAAGCTGGAAATTGCTGGTCCTGTCAGAACCCACATCCGGCCCGGGACAGAAGGGCCGGCTGCACAGGTAGGGAACAGCCGTACGGAGAGCGCCCCCAAGAGGCAGCACCGCCCGCAACTCTGGCGTGATCCAGCTCCGACACCTCGCAAGAAATACAGCTCCCGCCTGGGCCTGCCTGCACCGCGGCAGCAGACGTGATTTGTTAGGGATGATGATCTGGTATCTCCACTTACATTTGCAAAGTCCTTCATGTTCCGTGCTCTGGTGGGAGACACTGTTTCTTCGGACACATTTGGGAGCACTATAAAAAGGTAAAACAGACACAGGAAAACGGCATGGTATGCAAACCACCCAGCATCCCTGGTAGGGAACAGAGCCCAGAAAAGAAAAACACAAAAACATGAACAGCTTCCACAGTACATTCGGCTGGCACTTTCTGTCTATTGTGATTTACTGACTTGAGTCCAGGGAAAGCTCTAAACCATTATATTTCAGGTATTTACAAATTACTTCAAGGAGCCCCAGTGTAACCTGTCGGAGAACGAACCCACAAAACGCACTGGGCATGTGGCCAACCCCAACTGTCCCGATAGGTGCTTCCTCTGTGATCGTCAGGAAGTTATTTCACTGAACGGGATACCACCTTCCCGTGTCAGCAATTAAAGCATGTCTAACTGCCTGGGGTTGGCAAATTTTTTCTTAAAACGCCAGACAATCAATATTTTAGGCTCTGTAGGCCATAAGCAGAGCCTAAAATCTGTCATAACTGGTCAACTCTTCTGCTGGAGCACAACAGCCACAGACAATTCATAAGTAAGGAAGCTGTGTTCCAAGAAGTGTTTTCAAAAGCAGGCAACAGGTTGAAAACTGCCCCATCCTTGCTTTAGGGCGATTACAGACTTTGCCACCGCCCAAAGCTTTTCACAGCTCATCGCATACCTACTCTGTGCCAATCACCATCCTAGTGCTGGGGAAACAATGGTGAGAGAGACACTGATCCCGCCTAAAGGCTCTCGATCTAGTAGGCAAGACAGAGATGCAGACAAACTGGTACCATGCTGTAGAAAGTGCCTGGTGCTTTTTAAGTGTTGGGTGAAAAGTGCACTGAGTAAATGAATGAATCCATTCTTCCAACAAATATGCATTGAGGGCCTCCTCTCTGCTAGGCACCACTCTAGATGTGGCCACATCAGGAAACGAAACAAATGGAGCTGACAGTCTCAAGAGAGAAGACAGACAATGAACAAAATAAGAGGGCAATTAGATAGTATGTTAAAAAGAGATAAATGCTATGGAGAAAAATTCAGTGGTGAAGGATTGGAAATATCCAGGGTGGGGTGAGGATTGCTATTTTAAGTAAGGTGGCTAAATCAGGAAGGTCTCGCTGAGAAGGCGTCCTCTGGGCAGACCTGAAGAAAAGGGCAAAGGGAGATACTGAGGTGGGAGGGTGCCCGGTGGATGTAAGAACCAGCCGCAGGGGCCTGGAGGACACTAAACAACGGGACCGCAGGAGAGGATGTAAGGGAGGTGCTGGGGGGCAGGCTGTGCCTGGCTTTGTAGGCTCTTCTCGGGACTGGGGAGCCACCAGAGGGCTCCAAGCTACGGAGGAACATGGCTGGACTTGAGTTTCGACAGGTTCCCTCGGGCTGCCTCGCCGAGACCAGACTGAAAGGAGCTTAGAGGGAGACAAGGGCACCAGCCAGAGTACTGGAACAATCCAGGCCAGAGATCGCGGTGGCTTAGCACAGGTAGTAAGATGATACTCAGGGAAGGGGTCTGATTCTGGAGGTTTTTAAAGTCACCAATCAACAGGAATAAATGAAGTAAGTGAAATGTGTAAGTTTCAGAGAGGAAAGAACACCAAAGCGAACCTGGGGAGAGCCAAAGAAGGTGGTGAGCTTTGAGGTGAGTCTTAAAGAGGCAGCAGGCAGACGAAGGCAAAAGGAAGAAGAAACTTCACAGGCAAAGGCCTAGAGGCAGGCATGGCGTTCAGAAACCAATGGGCACAAGAGGCTCGGAGGTGGAGGTGGGCAGGGGCACACTGTAAAGAACCCTGCGTAGCAGACAAGGGCACACAGATCTGTTTTCCTGGCTCTCAGACACCCCGTGCTCTGCCACCAAGGACTGCGTCCCTATCTAGGTCCTACTCGTTCATCAAGTCTCAGCTCCAGTATCAATGTCTTAACAAACTCTTGCCTGACCGCCTCCCCCTCATCCTCCCTCACAGCACCTTTTTTTATATGATTTGTCATGACACTTCTCTGTTGAACTGTCTTCTAGGCTTGACTGTAACCACGTTCAAGGTTGGATCCCAGTACTCAGCCCCGGGCTGGGCACAGAGTGATGTACAAACACTGTGGACTGAAGCAAGGAGCAGGCCCATCAATTTTCCGCAGGAAGAATAGAGATTGCTGGATTTTGTGTGTAAGGTAGAAGTTAACAGGTTCTGAAGGAAAACCTGAGGGTGGCCTTTAAGTGTTCTCCAGAAATAAACCTCAGGACACTTACACTGTCTGTTCTAAAAACTTCCTTCTGCACGTCGCCTCGCTTTGGAAAAGAGAAAAAAACAACCCACAAGTCAAAATATCTCTTCAGATATCTTCAAAAAGGCAAATTATTAGCACTTCCCAAAGATACTTATAATAGCATTCACTTCTTTCAGAAACAAAACTTGGGAAGAATGCTTAGCAAAAGCCGAGCTGCCCAGCAGAGACGCTCCTCGCAACCCAGCTTCCGCACAACAGACTGCTTATTTCCTCGGCGCCGTGTCCCGTGGTCTGACCAACTATTTGTCTCCAAAGGGCAGGCTGCTGTCGGAATGCTGGGCCTCGGCCAGCAGATGGAAGCCAGCGGCCTGCCGGGAAGGCCTTGGCACACCGCGCTCAGAGGGCAGTGCTCAGGGCCTGCAGCCACGCGGCAGCAGGGGGCAGCAGGCCCTCCACACCTGACCAGGTCACCACTTCGACACGCAGCCTCCGCGCAGGCGCTCGGCTCGGCAAACACCGGCTGAATCTCTTCGCGTCTGGTGGCGACAAATAAAACTCCCGAAACAGGGCCTGGAGGACATCAGTTCCTCCAGGCCAGTGTTTAAGAGAGGAGGTGAACAGCAACTCAGTAGGTATATAAAATACCGAGCGCCCACGGGGAGCACCTAGCCATGCCAGGGGAGGCCCTGGGCCCCGGAGACATCGAAGCCCAGTCTAGGCTCAAGGCCAAAGGCCTTCATGGTCTAGTGTCTACTTCCCTCGCTCTTACTCAAGAGACTGACCGGCTGTGTATACTTACCACCATTTCCCAAACCAGCAATGGGGCTGATGCCATCCACGTCGTCTGGTAAATTGGGAACAAGGCCACTAGGAGAGAGCATGTGCAGGAGGAGATGAGTTAGTGTTTGAACGACCGTCAGGACTGCCTGGACTGCACGTGACAATCATCAGGCCGCAGCCAATGAGGGACACACAGCTGAGTGACCCGGGAGACGTGAAGCGCAGAGGTTAAGAACTCAGGCGCTGGGGCTCTAACACTTTATAGCTGAGTGACCTTCAGTAAGGATGGTCATTCATCCATTCATTCATTCATTCATTCGTATATCAAGTGTTCTGTGAGCCATTCATGTGCTCGGTGCAGAAGCACTTTGCCAACTATAAATGTGTTTCTGAGTCCCACTGCATATTTTACATGGGGATACCAACCCTGTACCTGTAAACATTAAATGAGTTAATGTTTATAACACTCAGCACACAATACTCAATAAATGGTTACCTACTGGTTTTGTCATTCCTAGTATTATCGCTATTAATACGCTTTTCACAACCAAAAATAAGCTCCCAAGACATAGGCACCAATTCAGATGCCTTAAGAATGTCACATAAAAATGCAAAATTCACTGATCCAAGAAATTTTACCGGTTGAATTATAAAAATAGGTTAAGTGAGGATCTGAAGACACTGACAGAAAACTAAGCCATTATAGGAGGCGTGGTGTGACACAAAAGACACTACCCCAGATTCTATTCGAAGCTCTGCCATATACCTCTCCAAGCCTCACTTCCTTCCTGCCTAAAAGGAGAACAGCAGCTACATCGTTAGTAATTGGCAATCAAACAAGACACAAAGTGCTCAGCAAGGTACCTGGCATATTGTGGGCACTCCTTAAATGGGAGCAAAATACTGCTGTCACCATGAAACATACAGTGCTTTGTAATTTACAAAAGATTTACCATCGTGAGAGCTGCCCGAGAGGCCACGCGTTTTCAGAGGGGGCGCCACGGCGTAGATAATTTCAGCGGCCTGGCCAGAGTCACACAGCAACCAAGTCAAGAACCCAAGCCTTTTCTGTCTAACCCCCAATAATGCTTCCCCGTCCCAAGCTATCAACTAGAGACTTAGGGACACTCAGCTTGCCTTCCCAGCAGTGTTCTCTCCATGTTTCTAAATCCAAATCCATCCTGTTCCTAGGACAATTCTGCCTGATCACCAAATCGTGGAGTTGGCAACAGATCTTTGTGGTCAGAACCGAGCAAAAAACTGGAGATCACAAAATTCCAACATCACAAGAATGATTACATAATATGTGTCTGCTGTAAAGATAACTGAGAAAAAACTTCAGTAGAATGTGCCTTCAACTATGAAAAACTAAATACATGTACACTAGGGTCACCTCAAATCCTTCTTGGAAACTAGGTGGGCTACACATCCATTAAAAGACAAAGAAAAATATTAAAAATCCTCATTTGTAGGAAAATGGGAGAGATTTCCTCCATTTTAATTTTCTATAATTCTCCATTCCCTCTAATAAGCATCAGTAGAAGGAGACACTCCATTCTCCAAATTGAATAGTAAAAGTTCAAATCAAGTTCGACCACCACCTTCTTTGCAGATGGTGGCCCAGGGGCCCTAGGTCATACACCAGCTTACCGGTCAAGTTTAGCCTACGTCTGGTCTTACATTTCCAGTCTGGGTTCTCTCCACCACAGCCACTAACTTACCACCACTGGCTGAAACGGCCCATCAGTTACTCAAGCCAAGATCAACCACGGTTGAAAACTACATGGCAGGCAAAGCCAAAGAATTTGGTCTCAGACAAGTTTCCAAGAGGCAAACAATGAAGTCTGAAAAATGACATTTGACATCCCAATTATTAAAAGAAACCGCTATTTAATGCAGAAGTTCCTGCCTGGTTCCTGCCAAATTTCCACTTGGGTTTTACATACCCACTTTTAAAATGCTATGACTCTCTGTCATCTGCAATCTCCAGTCAGTTCTAGCCACCCGCCAGCTTTAAGTAGCTCCCTCTCCCCACTCGGATCATTCACTCTTAGCCTTAGGCCTAGGTTGAAATCAGAACTATGCAAGCGAAAGCAGAGGGCTGAGGTACAATCTTATCATGGTATTGATGGGGGAGACTAAGGCGCAGAAAGGGGAAGGAACCTCTTTGCTCAAAATCACAAGGGGTTATCAGCAAAGCAGAGACCAAAATCCAGGTTTCCTTGTGTCCGTGTCACCGCTAACCTGTGCCCGGGCCACCCAAAGCTCCCATACGAACATGGCACACGGTCAGCGCCGGTTTCCTCACATGCCAGATACAGCATAATCTAACAACCTTCCCTGCAGGGACACCCACAGTGAACGAGCACCCCACTAGGATGGGCAGCCTCCTACTGAAGCCTCACCATGGCCCTTCTACAGCAGGTGGCGGTTTTGAAGGCTGCCTTTTTTTTTAATGGGGAAAACTGAAACTCAGAAAAGTCAGTCAGCTGAAAAGACCCAAGCTGGCTTGATTTCGAACCCCATGCCCTTAATCTCTACACCGCCCTGGCGCCCCTTACACCTTCCTCAAGGAAGACATGGCGAGTGCCAAACGAACCCAGGCAGAGGACTTCCAGTGATCGGCACAGGGCACGGTCGCTGAGGCTGCTTTTTATGGACTCTCTGTCGAGCAAATGAAGAGACGCTCACCTGTGCTTCACCACCTCGCCCTCCCGTCTTGGTCCTACCGCCACCCAAAAGGGACAGTCACTTTCTGTGCTGTATGTGGCAGCAGGCACCGTCCATTCACACCACAAGACCCAACAAGGTCTAGAGGACTAAGCGTCTCGTTGATAAGGCGTTGGGAGAGCTGGGAATAGAACCGGGCATCACATTCAGAAAACAATTACAGCAGGTGCACCTCTGTCTGCCTCTTGACAACCCACTTCTCGTTACGTGTTATATATTCTTAGAGAAGAAATATATAAATACAGAAAATACAGACAAAAGAAGACATACAGGTGGCCGATGGGCACATGAAAAGATGCTCGTCACCACTCATCATCAGGGGAGGTGCAAATCAAAACCACAATGAGGTCTCACCTCCCACCTGTCAGAATGGCTACAATCAAAGAGAAAAGAAGTAAGTGTTGGCAAGGACGTGGAGGAACAGGAACCCTCATGCACTGCTGGTGGGAGTGCAAACCAGTACAGCCACTGTGGGAAACGGTATGGAGGTTCCTCAAAAAATTACAACTAGAGGGGCTCCTGGGTGGCTCAGTCGGTTAAGCATCCGACTTCGGCTCAGGTCATGATCTCACGGTCCATGGGTTCGAGCCCGGCATCGGTCTCTGTGCTGACAGCTCGGAGCCTGGAGCCTGCTTCGGATTCTGTGTCTCCCTCTCTCTCTGGCCCTCCCCTGCTCATGCTCTGTCTCCCTCTCAGTCAAAAATAAATAAGCATAAAAAAATTTTTTTTCTTGGGGCGCCTGGGTGGCGCAGTCGGTTAAGCGTCCGACTTCAGCCAGGTCACGATCTCGCGGTCCGTGAGTTCGAGCCCCACGTCGGGCTCTGGGCTGATGGCTCAGAGCCTGGAGCCTGTTTCCGATTCTGTGTCTCCCTCTCTCTCTGCCCCTCGCCCGTTCATGCTCTGTCTCTCTCTGTCCCAAAAATAAATAAACGTTGAAAAAAAAAAAAA